GCTTGCTACGCAGGCTAACGTTTTAACGTCTACTTAGCCTGCGAGCAGCCTCTCTCGTTTGGGTTTCGCGCGAGCGGCGAAGGCGGGAACAACTTGCGGCATGGGTGCTCGCGCGAATCCCAAACAAGAGCAGGCTAACGTTCACTTTGCTTGTTTTAGACGTTTTTTTTCTTCTTTAACCCCGAGTGCTGATTATTGTTGCATACAATGTAGGTCATTCACAATCTACACTCCACTATTTGGCTTTGTCCTGGCTTCGCGCTCGCTGTTCGGGTTAGCTTTCCAAAGAGAGCCTTCTAAGCGCGGATATATAATGCTGTAAACTCTCGTTATAGCGGACACCCTCGGGACGTAGTTTGGAGTCCGCAATAGCAAGAGTCCGCAATAGCGGGAGTCACTTTCAGTCAAACCTCTATAGCTTTCGCCTGGTGGAGGGCTGGATTTTGCCCTTAATAGCGGGTGTCCGTAATAACGGGGTGTCCGCATGGCGAGAATTGACTGTAAACTGTTTTTTCTTTGTCTCACGGTAATTTAGGTTCACGACAAGGATGTGATAGGCGTCGAACATCATCCACACAATAATCTGATTTCAACATACAGTGAAGACGGACAGCTTAAATTATGGCAGCCATAAGCTAACATTCACAAGAAGCCTTGTGGATCTACTAACAGAGATGCTGAGCGAATCACGACCTACTGACCAGTTTGGATGAAAGAACACAAATACAGGACAAGTCCAAGTTATTTTATGCTATCTAGCTAGGAAGATGAACTCGTTTCTCAAGGTTTTGTAAATAAATGGAGAGCACTTTTTAAAATCTGCCGGCATTACAATGTGAATGTAAGAGTTAATTTTCTCCTGGTGTAGCTGTGAACTTGGTTTATTAGTTTCATTTCTGCTATCTCCATAGTTTAAAACTTTACTATTGTGTATAGAACTGTCATTTCTTAGAAGATAAGACTCAGTAGCCAACCTCGTAGTTAACAAACTTGTGTCAAACGAACTGGTGCTTGTCACGTCCCGCTGCAGATATTTTATTGTAAATCATCATTAGTTATCCGACGCTGTAACATATGAAGGTCCGAGCGCGCGGAGTTATCCACGCTGGGATTGCGTGTGTGTCGCATCGGGCCTGGCCGATAAAATTTCAGTTGAGGGAACAAGTGCCGGTTTTGGCAACTCTTCGTGGAAGCACGCGAAGAGTTTCCGAATCCTTTTATCCAATCAGAAACTAGCGCGAGTACTCGCGAGTACTCCGAAAGTAATCGCGTCAACAAATACGTCATGTTGCTTAGCAACTTCGGGGACGAACACCGCGGGCTCAGTCCCGTCTCGGAGGCAGGATTTCACCATCAACTGGTACTTGTTCCCCTGACTGAACTATGTACTCGTGGATATATAGTCACTCGTGGAATACTTCACTTACTTCATGATAACTTCATTACTTCATGATGTTCCAGTTTCATTGTGAATCTCACTTAATTTAAACCATTTTGAAAGCCTGAAAAAATAATTGACCTTGCTCCCAATGTGCGGCTTCACAGCTCGGTTGGTAGAGCATCGCACGTGTAACGCGGAAGTCATGTTTCAAACTGGATACCGTTGAAGCACTGAATGTTTTTTTAGGCAGTTCATATATGATTTCATTCATACCAATCACTTATTAAACCATTTTGGTTTTTACCGATCCATTTTTTTTCCATTTCTGTCCCAACCTCGTTCCCAGGGTCTCTATTCTTCCCGCCCCCCAAGAGCGAGAGAGAGTGGCGGGAAGAAGAAAGACCCCGAGGTAGTTCCCCGAGGTTGTTTCTACCCCGCTAGCAGAGTCGCTTCGATCTAGGGGACTCTGCTTGCAGGGTAGGTTGTTCCCCGATTTTAATATTTCCCTTATTGTACCCTCCACCAAACACAGCGTACCAAAATGGATTCCACGGCAGGCGGATTTTTCGTCCGTTATCTCTGCGTGTGCAACAGTTCACAAAAAGTATCTAAGTCCGGTTGTTCAAAGCAACATTAACGTGGATTTTGATTTCAGTTTTGTAACTTTCCTTCAGTTTTGAATTTCACTAATGTCAAACTCCACATTAGCCGATTGGAAAACACTTTAATGTAGCTATAAGAAATGAAAACCTCGATAATTTTTTAATCCTAGATCAGCTTTAATCGACTTTCGAACTACTGTCCCTGGTCTTACAACCAGCATATAATTACTGGTGTATCTTGCTGAGTTCTCGCGCAGTGTGCTTGAGGATCCTTGAGATTTTGCTATTTGTTGCGGTACAATCAAATACAAACCCCAAACAGAAAAATAATATAATTATTACACTACTGGGTAAGAAACAATAAATGTGCTTTCTTGCCGGTCCGAGATTTTCTAAGTACCGGACCGGGTAAAGTTTCTTACATTGCTATGGTTTAATTTCCACAGCTATTTCAAGCACAAAGTCATGTAATAAATCGCTCGGGACTGTACTGGGAGAATATCGTAGAATATCGGCCCTCGGTCTTTTTTGTACGGACCTCGCTACGCTCGATCCGTATACATACTGCCCGGATACTGTCAAGACCTTCCCATGAACTCTTCCTAGGATCACTATGGGAGTTATCATATAAACGAGGCTTTAATATAATTCCTTCAAATGACTGGAAGGAAAGATTCTCGGATAAAATATTTTTAAGTGCACTCGCACAGTCGGTTTGGTAAAACAGACAAGAAAAGTGAAGTGGAAGTTTATTCATGCAAGTCGATTTTATTGAGAGAAACGCGAGTCGGTCCCTAGGGGGTGTATGTAAAACCCGGAACACACCCGGAACACCCCGGAACACCCCGGAACACCCCGGAACACCCCCGGAACACCCCGGAACACCCCCGGAACACCCCCGGAACACCCCGGAACACCCCCGGAACACCAACAGAATACCCCCAGGAACACAAAAATATAAAAATAATAATAAAATAATAATAAATAAATAAAATAAAAACAAATGAGATTGAAGTAGTGAAATCGAACACGGTAAGCGGTCAAGAGCCGTTAACGAATCGACTGATAGCGAACACTTCCGAAGATGCCCCGAAGATTTCCGAAGATGTACCGAAGATGTCCCGAACACTTCCGAAGATTTCCGAAGATTTCCGAACACTTCCGAAGATGTCACGAAGATTTACGAAGGTATATCGAAGACTTCTGAAGATGTTCCGAAGATTTCCGCACGTTTTCAGAAGACCGAATTTTTCCGAAGCTTCTTATCTAAGAGTGAATAAGTGGCAAAGGACCGCTCAAAATTCAAATGTTTGCCAATTGGCCAACGTCACAGAGCGTGACATTGAATTTGAGGTAATCGGAGGTCATTGCCATGTGCAATTTCGTAGACAATTCGTCATTGATCAATCATGTCGTTGTTTGTTCAGTCGAACCTCCCTAACCTGAGTATCAGGCGAATTTTTCTGCGCTCTCTTTTACTCTTCTTCTTTACGTAAGCGGACACCCTCGGGACCAGAGAAAAATTCGGGTCTTCTGAAAACGTGCGGAAATCTTCGGGACATCTTCGGAAGTGTTCGGGACATCTTCGGAAATCTTCGGAAATCTTCGGAAATCTTCGGGGCATCTTCGGAAATATTCGGAAATATTCGGAAGTGTTCGGGACAACTTCGTAAGTCTTCGGAAATATTCGGGGCATCTTCGGAAGTGTTCGGTATCAGTCGATTCGTTAACGGCTCTTGACCGCTTACCGTGTTCGATTTCACTACTTCAATCTCATTTGTTTTTATTTTATTTATTTATTATTATTTTATTATTATTTTTATATTTTTGTGTTCCTGGGGGTATTCTGTTGGTGTTCCGGGGGTGTTCCGGGGTGTTCCGGGGGTGTTCCGGGGGTGTTCCGGGGGTGTTCCGGGGGTGTTCCGGGGTGTTCCGGGGGTGTTCCGGGTTTTACATACACCCGTCCCTAGGTTTATACAACTTTGTTTGCGTCAGGTAAAAATAGCCGAAGGTGTAATTACGCTATTGTCATTAATCAGCATAGATAGAGGCTCCGGGGTGATGTGCTCCTGTTTGCGTGCAATTTGCAAAAGATTGTTCACAGCTTCTCTATTTTCTCAGATCGGGAGTGGGGGGTGGGGAGAGTTCAGTATTGTCTCCCTTCCCCACCTTTAGAGTGCACGCTCATTGCCTACCCGAAATAGGACGGGGAGTCAGGAAGGGTGGGGGGTGGGGGGGGGGGGGGGGTGGCTCAAACCAGCCCTGTACAACTGGTTACGTTAGGTCGGGGGTCTGAACTACCCGGTCCATCAGTTTTTGTTACCGCCTATTTGTGCTTTTTTCAATTGCAAAATATTATTAAGCAACTCGCAAAATGTTTTATTTCTCTCTGTTCCCGCCACCTTGGGAATTCCGCTTCCCCCTCTCTTCTCCTGCCTCCCGTAGACTTCCCGTCCCCCTGTCCCTCCCCACACGTTAGGGATGGTGAAAAATTTTCGACACCTTCGCTTGGTATTTTAAAATGCCCCTCCACAACAAAAATACACTGTAAATACTATACGTCACTTTATTATAAACAATTGCTCTAATATACAAGCACAAAACAGCTCAACCTGGGACAGACAGCTTGCTAGATACCTTTCAGTTAACAGATTGGCCTTTACTACTTGTAAGTTATGAGTAAATGGGTTTAAAAATCAGACAGCACAGGTATACCATCAAATAATACTGACAGTGACCTTTTTCGATGACTATCTGTAAACGAGAGCTCTTCTAGAAGGGGCTTAACCATGAATGCCCATTATGGCTCACATTCGCCCCTCGGTGATGACTATTATTTTAACTTTACTTGTATGGACTGCAAAGCAAACTCTCAAAAAAATGAAGCTGGAGGTGAGAATGAGGAATATGTATTCACAAGACTCTCTCCAACTGCTTTTTGATAAGCGCTATAAATGAAAGATCTATTTGAAGCCTATATTATATTCCTGCTGGGAATTAACCCTTGTTAGGAAACAAAGCCTCGGTGGGATTTGAACCCACGACCTCGGAATGGACTTCCCGTTGCTCTACCAACTGAGCTACGAGGCCAGACAGGAAAAAAGTGATTGCTTTGCAGTCTGTTAGTTATATTTTGATCTGCCAGAATCATACAGCTGACATACACTTCTACCCATTAATACTAGTGTCTGCTAAATTGGTTAATATAAAAGTTTCTATGTTGGTACATTGTCTAGTTTCTGAAGTGACACTTGCTTTCCAGTTTCACATACTAACAGCTGCGATCTACGCAACTTGCATATTTGTAACCATATTGGTGGATGTTTAGTGACGTCATTATTTACATTTGGATAAATTAGCATAATTAAAAAAAAACACCCGATAAGCATTTAGGTTTAAATGAAAAGAGAATCATAAAAGGATAGGGTGGCAGCCTTCTTGAAATGCTGCATTTTAACTTACAACTGTTCGAGTTTGTTGAATTTTTTTGTGTGCAAGTATTACACCTCTGATGTTATATTATGCTAATTTATGCCATACATTATGTAAACAAAGATCCACCTGCAGTCAGTCAAACAATATTGTGTCTCCCCTCCTCCTTAACATCCACAGCAGTGATCACATTCTAACTTCTAACTACTCTACAGCAACTTCAACTAAGACGGTGATAAGAATTAAACAGCTGATCACCTCAAGAGGTCTTGATCTAAACTCAATTCTCACCAGGAGACACGATGGAAACAGCAAGGATAATTTTATACTTAAAGCTAAGTTTAAACTTATTACAGGGTTAATTGTACTGCTCTTTAGCAAACATTTTCCAGAACTTTCCAGGACTCCTGTAGATTTCTAGAATCCAAATGCACAAGCTATAAAATAATATATTTATTGTTCTTCAACACATCCTTTTCTCGCATGTTGCGAGAATTTTCTCCACAAGAGACCATTCTTTTTTTCAAGGCACTTAATTTTCGTTCCAATTTAGAGGTTTCCAGGACTTTCTAGGACCTTAAAAAAATCACTTTCCAGCACTAGAAAATGCCAGAACAAAATTCAAGGAATATACAAGACCTGTACGAACCCTGCACTTAAGTTTAAATATGGTTTAAAAGTGTTTTGTGCATACAATTTAATATTGCTTAGTCAGGTTATGTACCAGTACAAAAAATGTTATAGTAATGGAGCTCTGCTTCCAGTTTTTTATCACTGAACAAAACTTACTTTTAAACTTGTTTAGTTCCTGTAGTGTGGATAAGGTATTGAAGTAATCACAAATTGTACAATAATTATCAGCACTGTAACTGCTGTGTTGACAACAGACATATTTAACCAAGAAAATACCTGGTGAGGACATCATGTCCAAAGTTACAAAAATTAAAATGTTCAAAATTGATGTCAGCTTGGGCAGTGTAAACAGGACGAGGAGCAGCTTTCCAATTCACATGTCTCAAAAGTTGACTTGAAAATGTTTTCTTTTGCAACCATCCATCAAATATACAAAACACACGTCAATGTACAATGTAAGTCTGATTAATGGTACAATGTAGTCATTTTAAAGTGAAGTTTTGAGGCACATGAACAAGGAAAACACCACAATACTGTTAGTAAACAGCAATCAGTGCGAAACGGATAATAATAGTAACAACAATGAGGGTGATTCCAATGCCAATAGACATGTTCGCCATCTTCCTGGTCTCCATGCTCAGCTGATTGGCAGTAATCAAGTCTCCGCGGTTAATGGCATGACGCGTCTGACAAAAACAAAGATCATTGCAACTTGCTTTAGTTACCTACATGTATGTGTTGACTTAATAAAGACATTTTTTATGGCCAAACCAGAAAAAAGGGCGACGTTTTTCGGTTGGTCGGTGGGTGGGTGGGTGGGTCGGTCGGTCAGTAGGTGAGTAAAGTTATTTATTTTCACAGGGTGTCTCCTTCAGTTTTACAATTCAAACTGTTATCAACAGAGGCCCTGAAAAAAAAAAATGTCCTTGGCCCTTCAATGTGTAAAAAACACTTTTCCTTCACAAAATATGGAATGTTTTCAACAATACTTGTAATCAAATTCTGCAGCAACTTTATCATATATTAAAAAATAAAATTTGTATGCCCTGCAGAAATTATGGAATTTTTTGGAAACAATATACTAAAATGGTACTTTAGGATCCTTTGCATGGAAGCACATTGGGATTTCCTATAATTCAGGTCTCTCTTAAGCTCTCAAAAGCATGTAGTTTTGTTATTATTAATATTTAAATACCACTGCTCAGAGAACTCTTGTTATTCAATGTCATATTTCGTACCTCATTGGATTTCAGAATAGCGCAAATTCCTATCGGCCAGAAACAGAAGAGACAAGCAAACCAGGCCAAGCCGCAGTAGTCAGGAGGTGCTATCTGTGGAGCCAAAATAATGCCTGGTCCCATGCCTGCTTGCTGTGGAGTAAAACAAAAATAATTAACAGTGAAAAGTGGGGTAGGAATACGTTAAAGGGTCCCTCTCAACCAGTGTGCTTTGCGGTCGCGTGTTGTTGTTTTCAACCGGGGAACTCGATCTCTCGTGGGGCTAATGTATGCCATACTTTCCAAATTGTACTAACTTGGGTCGTCTAACTGCTTTTTGTGGCCAGAACAAGGCCAGAATCCTGCAAAAAGTAGTTTTTAACTTCAAGCCGCTATTTTTGCGGCAAGAGTATTGGCGCGCAAAGCACACTGGTTGAGAGGGACCCTTTAAGAATGTTTTATGAACTTCCTATAATCATCAATCAACTGAACTTTGATCACTTCAGAATCAGACACGTATTTTATATCAGGATCATTATTGTTTCAATCACATTAGGAGTCTTTGTTTTAGTAGTCGCACATGGCCAGTCATGTCTAATACAGAGAGCACATTTAAAGAGCCATCCTCTGTTTGTGTGATCCAGGTTCCTATGAATTTCTGATTCCTTAGTAACTGCTAATATTATGAACATTATTATTTTAGCTTCCTGCTTCCTAAAAGCGGTATTTAGCACTGTGTTACTGTATATTTAATAAGGTAGTCATGTAACTCAGAAGTTTTCCATTGAACTTCAGTAATTTCCGAACATTTGAATAATTATGTTCACACCCTCAAACTTCAAAAGTGTGACGGCCAATTACGTCATGTTTGATCCCACTTAGGACCATGTCTTTTTGTCATACATGTATGATCATGCTTACATGTACTGTAAATGCAACCAAAGGTAAATTTCCTATGTATCCTGCCCACTTAAAACAAACAAACGAACGAACAAACAAACAAACAAACAAACAAACAAACAAACAAACAAACAAACAAACAAACAAACACAACCCTAACTCACCACCACTGTGACATTGCTAGTTTGTTGTGTCATCGGGCCAGGTTGATAACCTTGATAGCCTCCTGGGTAACCTTGGTAACCAGGCTGTGCAGGGTAACCTGGCTGATAAGGAGGTTGTCCTGGGTAACCAGGCGGCTGTCCTGGGTAACCAGGCTGTCCTGGGTAACCGGGCTGAACTGGATAGCCAGCTGCCTTATCTCCTGGTGCACCCCCCACGGCTGGAGGATGGGTCACTGGTGGAGCAGCTGCATAGGGTTGTGGAGGGCCTGGGTAGGCTGTTGGTGGTTGTTGCCAGCCAAACCCCTGTCCAGGGGGAGGGTACTGGGGTTGGGCTGATGGATCTCCAGGACCAGGGTATGGTGGGGGCGCATATGGAGGAGGCTTGGAATCTAGGAAGAGGATCAAACAGGTAATAATATGAGTTATCGCGGTAGTATTTGGTAATACCGCGAGTAATATTTCAAAATTGTCCAAAATATCACGAACCGCTTTGGCAAGTGATATCTTGGACAATTTTGAAATTACCAAATACTGTACCATGTGCAACTCATGCTATTGCTATTTTGTTTATAATACAAGGCAAGTATTTATCAAGTAGCTGACTACGATCAGTAGCTGATTCACAGATGTCATTGAAGCTTTGTTTTGAAATGTTTAAGCAATGGAGTGCTTTTCCCAGTTCAGTCACACCACACAAATAAAAGTGTTTTGCTTTCAATCTCTGTACATTTTTGTACACTTTGACAGCCAATCTCATTGAAATGACCACTTTTGTCCACATGGTAAGCGATAGAAATGACTGCCATCTTGTTTCTTTTTTTAAAGTCAATTGTTACCACTTGCCATATTTGGAAACTGTAATTCTACTTAACAATTAGATTATGAGCTCGAGATTTCTATGATGTGATAGTTGATGACGCCGTAGGCCGAATCAACTATCACATCATAGAAATAATTGAGAGCGAATAATCTAATTATTGTTTTAGTAAAAATCACAACAATTGTCTAGTATTAACTCTAAATCTTCCTCCAAAACTTCGGAGAAACGAGAAGAAACCGCAATTTTGTAGACGACCTCCAGCCACTGCACACTAATGGCTGATAGTGTACGAGTGGCTCAGCCAATCAGATTGTCTCATTTGCATTAGTATACTAGTAGATTTTTACTAAATGTAATTAGTATTTCTGGTATAAAAACCTTGTTCTAACCAACCACCTTTCAGAAATTTCTCAGCCTGTATTATAAAAATTATTGTAGTAATAGGAAGCATGAATACACAAACTCCGTTACACAAAAAATAAATAGATAAAAATATAAAAGAAATGCATAAACAAACAAACAAACAAGATTTAGTATTAAATGAATAAAAAACAGCCACACTGTAAAAAAATAAAATTAATATCATTTTTGCTTGTAATTGACACCAATATCACTGAGCACATACCATCTGCCATATTTACTCAAGATGAACTGGATAAAATATCACAGAACCTGCAAATTTCAGAGGAGAAACACACATTTAAGGTTAGAGAAATATACAGCTAGGGATATAGTCATCTCTTTCAGTAGCAATTTGGGCCAAACCACTAGTTTGGTACACGTCCATTGCCACATGCATCGCATGGCGTCAAAAGGACCACTGATGATTTTTTTTAAACAGAGCTTTATTCACAAAATTAATACATTTGGTACATTTGACTAAAAAACAAATAAATACACAATACACTACATATGATAGCACTA